AAAAACTTTCCACATGTCGCTTCTTAAATGGTTAGGAGTGGTGATCTCCGTTGGCGCACCTGCATCGCTTTCTGCCATTTTGACGTTAGAGGTTAACGTGCGTGAAAACTTTATTGTTCATCAGACGTGACAAAAGCATTTCGTTTTCACATGCAGGTAAGTCAAGGCGAGAAGGGCGAGATTCACTTACGTTGGCCAACACATTTATAAAAAAAATGAATAGTAATTTCAGCATTCGATTAGTATTATTTTTTTTTACTATTCCATATATATTCAACTCCCGAAATTCATTCCAACAGCCCTAGTAAGTACACAGTGCACTAACGGAAGTATGTGAATTAAAACACACCTCATGTCTGTTTTGTATATGGGGGACCTTTACTTTTTTTTGTTAATCAAAAATGCACCATAAGATATCTATAGTGTATATGCCATCAATTTCCCACAACCTCATATCAGGCGTCTGGTCCAAAGTGAGCCAACACTGACATAATTCATTAATGTTGAGGGCCCGAGGACCTGACTCCTGACCCTTACAAGATTGTAACTTTGGATGTCTTTGGTTGTATGGAAGATGAAGGATGATGTCAACATAACGAACGCGCTAGACAGTTTTTTACCATAAAATATCTTCTCTAAATTAGAATGTTTGAATGTTTCAGAGTAGGATCACAGGGAACCCACCTCCTTGTTGAGCAGAGTGGCGAGTTCTCGTGGAGGGCGTTGGTTGGTGCCGACGGTGGTCGCCGTTGCGATGGGCACCTGCTTCTCCTCCCTGAGCGGCGTGGTCTCAACCTGATGCCACTGCTCCTCGATCTCCACATGGCGATCCTCCTCCTGCTCCTCCTCCCGCTCCACACCACTTCTGGAGCCATCTTCTGAGACCGCCTCTCCCTGCCCGTCCACCTCCATCACTCCTTGGTCGGAGGGCGGAGCCGACTGAGGCGTGGATGCAGCGTTCAGCGTGGTTGTCATGGTAACAGTGACCGTGTTTGGCACGTGACCACCGGCGATGTGCCCCTGGTCCGGCCAGCACACTTGCTCCTCGCCTCCCTCATCTATGCCAGTCGCAGTGGAGATCTGGGGAGGCGGAGCGGAGACGGAGGAGGAGGTTTGGGGGGAGGAGGTGGTAGAGCAGGGGGAGGAGGCTGTGGAGGAGGAGTAGGATGAGGAAGAGGTAGTGGTGGTGGAGGAGGAGGAAGGCAGGGTGGAGCTGAGGTCCATGGGGTCAGTCGTCTGGCCCGTCCTGAACTCTGACCAGTCGTAAGTCTTGGATCGACCCTCCCGACGGCGCTCACGGACTCGGCTCTTGCGGGGCTCGGAGGCGGGGACCCCTGCTGGCTGCATGTGGAGCTCTGCCCGGGGGGCCTCGGGGCCGGCAAGGGGCTCCGTGGGAGACTGGAGACACTGAGCCAGCTGGGCCTTGGCCTGCTCCTCAGGTAACGACCTGCAGGGGACAGAACCAGGGTAAATAAAAGAACCAGGGACAGGGTCAGTAACAGAACCAGGGTCAGGACCAGGATCAGTAACAGGACCAGGATCAGTAACAGGAACAGGGTCAGTAACAGGAACAGGGTCATTGTCAGTAACATAACCAGGATCAGTAACAGAACCAGGACCAGTAACAGAACCAGCAACAGAACCAGGGTCAGTAGCAGAGGAAAGTAGCACAGTTAGCAGTTAGCCGACGAGGCTAAGCAACATGTCCATGAACACAGGCCATTCAGGTAGAAACACCTACAGACAGGTACAGACAGGTACAGACAGTTTTAGACACTGCTTCATACAGTAGCAAAAGTGCAGCAGTCTCCACAGTCCTTAAAAGCACTACTAGCTTAATATCAATAACAGAGGAAAGTAGCATGGCTAGCGGTTAGCCAATAATGCTAGGCAACATGTCCACGAACAAGCCATTCAGGTCACAAAGACGTGTGGACAAGTAGATAGAAACGTATATGAACATATATAGACACTTGTAGACCGTTGACAGTTCCATACAGTAAACAGTGCAGCGGTCTCCACAGTCCTTAAAAGCTTAATAATAGAAACAAGTAGCACAGAAACAAGTAGCACAGTTAGCAATGAGCCGACGACGCTGAGCATGATGTCCATAAACACAGGTTATTCAGTTAAGACACATATATACAAATACACATTTAGACTGAAGACACCGTTTCATACAGAACATATGCAGCAGTCCACACTAGCTAGCCTAATAGCATGGACTAGCTTCATAGCATAGCCTAGCCTCATAGCATACCAATGCAAACATTTTATAACATCAGGCTAAACTGCCTGCCTGAGTGAGGAGATGGCAGGGGTATGGTGGAGACCGCCTGACATCTTGGCTCTAAAGAAAGCAGAGCTTCCTCATAAAATTGAAACCCACAGAATCTCCTGTTTCCATTTCGTCATGAGACGTGGTGGTGACTGTGTGAGTGTCTATGCAAGTGAATATATGTGTGTGTGTCTATATATGTGTGTGTGTGTGTGTGTGTGTGTGTGTGTGTGTGTGTGTGTGTGTGTGTGTGACACTAGGGGTGTGGGGTGACAGTATGTGGGGGTTAGGGGTGATCAGACAACAGCAGGATAAGTTAGAGTTGTCATGCAGAAATGACTAAAATATCCCACATTCCCCAGCCAGGAGGGACTCAGCACACCGACAGAACGAGGAGTCTGACATCCACACAGAGACACACACTCAGAGATACACACACTCATATAGATACACACACTAGGTCTGGCCCCAATACATAATTTCAAGCTTTGGATAATCATTAGGTTTTCCGAACAAATATTCAGAGAAAAAAAATAAAGAAAAAATGTCAATTCACAGTGTGTATCTTTCTGTGCCTGGATAGCTGAAGAGCAGGCAAAGACAACTGCTGCAGAATCACGTTTTTGTCAACTGATCATTTCTACAGTGTTATTTTAATAACTAAAAAAAAAACTACAATGTCACGTAGGATTGCTGTGTGGACGTCAGTGGCCTTTGGCTTCATGGGTCTGAGTCTGACTCAGTTACGGCAGAGCTTCAATAGCCAAAAAGTTTCCGAAGACACACAGCTTCCATAGTATGAAAGTAGTTCTATGTCCAATTATCGCAAAGCAAATAAGGTGGTTTGAACATTGTGCAAAGTTTGGATGAAATTGAACAGCAGCACTAGCGTTATTCACCTGAAGAGAAATCACACAGGCGCTATTGTGGGGACACTTAAAATACTCAAGGCTGCACTACTGACATAAACACAATCACACACACACAGATAGTCAGTAAAACACATACATTGCTGTCGTTACCGTCACAATAACATACACACACACACACACACATGCAAGTCACAAACAAACACGCTGCAGACTGACACACACACACACACACACACACACACACACACACGGCTTGGGACAGCGGCGTCTTTATGACTTCCTGACGGCCGTATTTAGACGCTGCTCGTCAACAACAGAGTGCTTCATCACATGACCTCATGACATCATGACATCAGTGCTAAGCCGCCACGGCAAGCCAGAAATCACATGACACAGAGCGGAACGCCAAGGCCAACATCACTGAGCGATGACATCAATGGGTTAGAGGGGAGAAAAAGAGGGGAGGCAAGCAGTCCAACCTTGACTTGAGAACGGACAGCTTCAGAGCTAGATGCTTCCTGAAGACGTCCAGCAGAGAGAGACAGAGAGAGCGAGAGAGGAAAGGAGAGATGGTCCAAAAGAGAGCGAAAAGAAGGATGAGAGAAAGGTTAATAGTTTACTACATCAGAAAGCATTGTGGGTGCAGGGTTATGGTGAGGGTGAGTGCTGGGTATAAGATGTGAATGTTGGTGAGGGTGCTAGGTGTTAGGTGAGCTCCTTGGGTGCTGGGTGAGGTTCCTGGACAGTTCTTACCGGGTGACGTCTGGGGCTGCGGCAGGCCGGATATTCTTTAGGATGGCCTGGATCCAGTTCCTCCTGATGCCCGACGTCATGGCCGACAGCGTGCACGCCCCCTCCTTACTCTGGAGGGGGAGGAGGCAGAGCAGGGGGGAGGAGCAGCAGCAAGAAGAGTGAGAGGAAGAGGAGGAGGAAGAGGTGAAGGAGCAGGAGGAGGATTGGGGGGGGGATTAATATTCAAACCGATCGACTTTAACAATTGTAGTATTGTGTTAACATGTTTGTAACTTTGTAGTAGTTATCATGTTTGATAACTACATAATTGTAGTTATTTAAAACTAATTTGAGAATGAGTGAAACAGTGGCTAGGGTGTTTGACTCCCATCCCGAAGACTGCAGGTTAAATTCCTCATCGTCCCCACTTTAAGGGCCAGATGCATAACCGGTCTCTGTATTCAAAGTGATTTCAACAACTTTTAAAAGGGTTTGTCAAATGCAGCTTAAACAACTATTTATACTTTAGGGGCAACTTCCTCCTCTAACAGGAAGTTCAATCCCACTTGGTTACATACAGCCCTGACAACTATTAATGCTGCTGTTAACACTGCAGCCCGAGGTCGCTGGGAGGTCGTTTGGGGGTCGTGGAGACACAGATGAACCAAGTTCAAGTGTGCAAGTGTATGTAAGGACATGTTTGTGTAAGTATGTGTATGCATATGTATAACTGTGTATATGTGCCTGTCTGTCTGTGTGTGTGTAGGTGTACGTGTGTGTCTATGTTTGTATCAGGGTACAGGTTAGGCAGATGCAGCAGAGTTATGTGGTCATTAGACAGGGTGAAGACATGCGTTAATGCTGTCTGGTGATGACTTCTCATCCCTACATGCCCGAGACCACCATGTGTAAACCGGCCTGCAGTCAGGATGGCCTGGATCCAGTTCCTCACGCCCCTGCAGGGTTATGGTCTTTGGACCACGAGCTAAACACACATGGCTGGACAATCCTGGTGATGTCATCGCTTTCCGTGAGGAGACGACGTGTCCACCGACTTTTTTGAGACGAACGGGTACTGGGTTTGATCCCCATGTCCGCAGTCTGTCCACGGACATGTTGAGCTCACCTGGTAGAGCAAGGCATTAACACTGCCAGGGTTAGAGGTTCGATTCCCTGTTGAGCTCACCTGGTAGAGCACGGCATTAACACTGCCAGGGTTAGAGGGTTTGATTCCCACTAGGGCTGCCCGTGCTAAGAATGTATGCTCACAGTATCGTAATACGCTTTGGATAACAGCGTCCACCAAATGGCACACATTTTATATATACACATAAACACGCACGCGCACACGCATGCACACACACACACACACACACACACACACACACACACACACACACATACACACACATACACATCTTCATCTGTCATAGTTGATGATGACCATGGCCATCTCATTATGTTTGGTTTTGGTGAGTGTGCAGATGGCTGAACAGACCAATCTCAGCACACTGGCCAGGTCAGGGAGGATGTGGAGATTTGTGGTGCAGCCACAGGTCCTTTCTTGGCAGATTTGTGCTGCTGCCTCTTCAACATGGCACAGAAGCTTCTCCTGCCCTCACAGAGGACTGCACCTTCCTGGATCTGACCTAGGTGTTTCCAGCTTTTCAGGTCAAATCCAAAGCTTTTCCAAGGAGGCTTTTATGGTATCCTTGTAGAGCTTTTTGGGGTCACCTTGCGCCCACTTGCCATTTTTGAGCTCGCCAAAGAAGACTTGTTTTGGCAGTCTTGATCTTGAGCTTGATCTTCAGCAGTTTCCTCAGACAGCTCAGGTGGAGATGGTTCAATTTCCTGGCATAGCGCTGGTAGACTGTCCAGGCTTCACACCCATATAGGAGAGTTGGTAAAATAGGAGAGTTGGTAACGTAGGAGAGTTGGTAATATAGGAGAGTTGGTAATACGACAGCCTGGTAGACCTCCAGTTTTGCCTCCTGCTTGATGCCAGTCCTTTCCCATACTGAGTCACGTAGACGACCAACGGCTGCATTGGCCTTGACAATCCTGATTTTAACTTCATCATTTATGTGCACAGCACAAGACAGAGTACTTCCAAGGTAAGTGAACTTGTCAACGGCTAAAAGCTTTTGGTCGCTAACAAAGATTGGTTGGAACAGGACTTTAGTCTTCTTGTGCTGATTGTTAGGCCTTAATTTGTGCAACAGGCACTAGCTCAGAGAGAATGATCAGCACAGCTGGCGACATTGTTACCCCAGAGAGATCCTGCCTTAAGCCCACAAGGTAAACATGTTGGTGCTCCTTGCTCGGAATCAGCCTAACAATTAAAATACAGAATTGGCAGCAGACCTGTTGAGGCATCTGTGCATTAGTTCATATGAACACCTGGCTGTTGATTACGGAGGGTTTTGTTGAGCAAATGTGTGCTTATCATATCTGTGATTTTATAGCATATAAGTGATCATTTTCAAAAAGCAGAATGCCTCATCGCATTACGTCATATATCCTTTTTTTTTTTTTTTTACTTCAATGTATTTGTATGGAGCCTGAGCCAAGAGTCAATTTTATTTATCGTTTTGGCTGTGTGGTTTAATTTAATTTATGTTTTTTTATTTAGGATTTTTTTTTTGACAATTCTGAATATGTTTAAGAATTAAGGGTGGAGCATTATTATGTTATTATATTATCATATCAGTGGCATGAAATGGCCTTAATATGACAATAATATCGTTTATTGCAATTATTTCTGGGACAATATATCGTCCAACAAAAGTAGTTACTGTGAAAGGCAGCCTCCAGCATATCCATGCCTGCTGCTGTGTCACTCGCCCATCGCCACAGGACTTGGATAAATGAGGAGATTTGCGCAGCATCAACCATCTCTGGACCAAGAGGACTGGAGGTGGTCCTGGTTGCAGTGGATAGTCCAGAATCATGATGCCATTTCTTTTTTTTTTTGGGGGCCATCACAGCATCACAAGTATAATTATTGTGCCAACGCTAACTAATTAAACATATTATTATACTCTATGAAAGTCTGTTTCTTTGCCATTGTTATCTTAGTTATGTATAACAAACCTATCCACCACAACAAATAGCGCTCATTACGTTCCCTGATCTCTGATCCATATAAGGTCATGACCAAATATGGATGTTGGGATGTGCATCACAAACTGCAACACAAACTGCATAGTAACAGACCATTGATAGGCTGTGAAATACATTTATTTCAGATATAATATGCGATTTGGGCTACTAAGGGCACCCAATGCAAACTTACCTAATTTGGGCAACTGGGTTAATGACACCCAGTTTCTTATTGTGCTGTTAAATGTAATTAGGTACATATAGAACATATTTGAATTTTATGGAAGTACATTTATTAAATTTTTTGGCCTAATTTCTAAATCTTTGCGGCCCGGTAGCCAATGTTCCCCGGCCCAGTACCGGTCCGCAGCCCGGTGTTTGAGAACCACTGTGATAAATGACTAAAACATAAATAGAGGGGAGAGAACCTGACCCTCCATAGTCAGGTGCCAGTCCTCCCCCAGACAGTGGGGAAGACAGTGGGGTCAGACGGTGTGGGGGTTAGGGGGTGTTTATAGCCCAGTGGGTCGCTGTGTGGATGGGCAGGGTGTCACTCACCAGGACCTGAAAGCCATAGTTCCTCTGGACAGGAAACTCTGTGACATCGTAACAGCAGGACAGGTCAACCTCTCCGTCCAGATCAGACGCCTGTCAGACACAACGCAGCTTAGAAACTTTTGTTTTGGTACATTTTTGTGTATATTTTACTATAATTTTTCCAGCTGTAGTTTTGTGTTTTATAATTTCACTTATATACATTTTATTTCATATTTGTACACCGTCCTTCCCATCTTGAGCAGAGCAATTGCGACAGAAACAACTTCTCCCTAGAATGAATAAAGCACTCTGGTTCTAAAGCTGGTATTGGTATTGCAGTAAATGAGTATGAGAACATAAAGTATGAAAACTACTCATACCTCTTCTGCGATGGAATCCTTGTAGTACCTCAGACTCTGGTCGGTTAAAACAAACCAGTGCTTCTTCCACTGCAAACATAATCAAGCACACGACCAGAAGTTACATTTCAGAAGAGGTACTTTGAAGCTACTCATCATCATCATTTTTACAACAAAGTATTTCCTGCTCGCTGCAGTAAATTGTGAAGTGTATCTGTGGATATGAACCAGTATTTTGTGTAGTTTTACCTACACCAGTAAAACCAGTGACGAGTGGGAAAGTGCTCACCATGCCGTCTTCGTACAGCTTGGTCATCCATCCCTTCTTAAAGTTCAGCAGATCGGGCTTGGAAAATAAAACAAGACAAAGGTCAGTTTCCTCCCGCATCGTACGGCGTAGGAATACGCTTGTTGGGTTCGTGGTCACGTATTTCCCCCCTCCATTAAACACACAGGAGCAGATACGTTGCAACATGTCAGCCCCGTTCGGTTTGTATACAGACAACATTCCTGTCATCAACAGCTGAGATAACGCAAACACAACCACAGCTAAACACTTTAGCCCAAATGGATTGGTTCTTTTCTGTCTGTTTTTTTCCATATGAAGTGTGATTCCAAACATTCATCTCTCTAGTTGTATTCCACGCATCTTCAAAGGTCACTACTTGAGAATGTCAAAGTGGTGGTGAATTAAGTTGAAATGTGTTGCCAACATATTTGTTGACACATTTCGAGAATCAGATCTCAAGCATAAAAGTCAGAACATAAGAAAAATGAACAACACAGAATGAACACAGGATTTTGATCTACATGGTTCTGAGCAGTTAAGCACCAGAACATGGACCCAACCAATCACAACACCAAACGCATCCTGTTCTCCAAACCAAACACTGCCATCAGTCTGTAGTGCCTTGTTGGAACCAGGCGTCAGCCCTACCTTGTTTTTACAGATCTTCAGATGAACAGGAAAAGACTGACAAAGAGTCATCCTGACCGAAAACCATCTCCATTAAAACCAACACACACACTAAGCTACACGCTAACGGAGACAGGCTAACAGACTGGCTAACCCACACTCCTTGTAAACCCAGGCAGACTGACAAACCCCCCTCTGGACACTAACTACCGCTGGTCCAGTGAGCCTGGCTATTTATATCGGTGGTCTGGGGGGTCGGGGGGTATGTGGGTATGCGGACACCAACCCCCCCCTCCCCCAACCCCCCCCTCCCCCACCCATGTTTGTTTTGATGTGCATGTTTGGGAGGAGTGGGTGCGCATGTGTTATGTGCATGTGTGTGTGGCTATCTTGTGAAAATATTATTGTTTTTAATAATGTAATAATGTAGCTATTTATCAGTCTGAATGTGCTTTATGTCTTCACATGATGCGTTTGATATTTATATTCTCTGTACATGATATTTATGATATTTCATAGCAGTGTGTTAGAGGACAAGAGATGTGCTTATGGTGGTGGAGGAGGTATTGATGTGATACTAAGGTGATCATGAAGACAGTACATGACTCCTCACTGTGGTGGTGGAGGTATTGATGTGATATTGATGTGATACTGATGTGATCATGAAGACAGTACATGACTCCTCACCGTGGCGGATGCGTCGGCTGCTCTGCGGTCCAGAGACTTGGCTCTCCTCAGGTTGGAGACAGAGGAAACATCCGGACTGGAGACCCTCCCGGCATCCAATGACATTTCCTGAGGAGAAACATATGGATAGAGAAAATGTATACAATACATACATTTGTGGATTCTAATATAATGCAAGATATACTTTATTAATCCCAAACAGAACATTTGGGTGTCACAGCAGAAAGTACAGGACAGTTATTATATATTAGTATATATGATAATTCACAAAGTTGCATTAGAAAAAGTGAATTATGATTACACACTATTAAACATAACTAACATGAAATTGTATCTCAATTAGATTAGATGGGTACTTCTATTCCCTGAGGGGAAATTCAGTTGTAATAGCAGCACACAATATAAAACACAATACAATACGAAATACAATAAAAAAAATAATTTGAATATTATGCTGATTCGAACGCAAGATACGGAACACATTGGAAAACTACCAAAAAACTCTGATATTAATAAGATTATATTATAAGATAATAGAAAGGTGTTAATACATTATACAATTATATTCTGAAATAATAAATCTG